TTCTGTAGAATTCCGGCTACTTGGAAGGCTGAGGCGGAAGGATCGCTGGAGCCCAGCAGGCGAGGCTGCGGTGGCCAGGAGCGGCCACTGCACTCCAGTCTGGGCGACAGAGTGAGACTCCAACTCAAAAAAAAACCAAAAAACAAAAAAACAAAAAAAACCAAACAAAGTTGTTTGGTTGGAAGTTTAAGGGTTTAATTGCTGTTAATACTTGATCAGAAAGGAAAACAAAAAGAAAAGCATGCTGTGTAATTGGATTAGGAAGACAGTCTTTTTTTATAGTGAGGGAAGAATGATGTAGGCCAAGGTCTATGTGCTCGAGGTATTGGGGACATTGAGACATTAATCAGCACTATTTGGAAAATTGGAATATGCATAATTGATAAAGTTTCCATGAAAAGATAGTAGAGTGGTTAAATAAATTGTGGTATATTCATGCAATGGAATACACTACAGCTGTGAAAATGAGTGAAGTACAGGTGTCTCTCTTGCTCATGAGGTGTGTTTCAGATTTAGAATTTTTCCAGATTTTGAAATATTTGCATTATACTTACTGGTTGAGTATCTGTAATCCAAAAGTCTACAATGCTCCAATAAGCATTTCCTTTGAGTGTCACATTGTTGCTCAAAAATTTTGGGTTTTGGAGCATTTTGGATTTCAGATTTGGGATGCTCAGGCTGAATGGTATTTTGCATCAACGTGAATGAGTTTCATCAAACAAAATGAACAAAAGAAGCAAGTCATTGGTGGGTACATGGAGTAGACTAAGTGTAGAGTTTAGACATAGGAAAAACAAAATGGATGTTTACACAGGTGACTGTACAGAAAAGCAAGAGAGGGATTATCACAGCTATTAGAGTAGTGATAGAGGCTGGGAGAGGGGACATTTAGAGTGGGCACAGAGGGAATTCAGGGTTCCAGTAGCGTTCTAACTTAATTCGAGTATTGGTTATACAGTTGTTTACTTTCTTATTCTTTAACTTGTACATATGAATTGTGTTTATTTATTGAGGTGGGGAGGTGAGGGAGAAATGCCCTCTAAGTGGACTTCATAGGAGCGGCTCCCTTCATGTTCCTTTACAGAGAGCTCTGTGGTCTTGTCTGAGCAGTGCTCTATGTTGATAGAACCCCACAGTCTTCTGTCTACTGACCTTTCAGTGGCTAGTTCTTACTTTGACACAAGGACTTGAGAATCTTGTGAGTCTAGTGAAGCCAGTGCCTGAGTCCCCTACCTGCTCACTATCTTGGGCCTGTCTTAGCAAGGACAGTTTGAATAGCTTGGGTCATTTTTTCTGTCTGCCCCTTCTTCCCTTCTGTCTCTCGAAAACCTCCCTTCTCCTCTGCAGATATTTTAAAGTTCAGTGCCTGTTCGCTTCAGAGCTCTTGCAGTTGCAAGTGGGTTCTATGCCTAGCACCTTTGATTAGAGACATGAGAGGAGCTACTGACAGTGCTTGGGAGCCTTAAGGTGCTTATTAGAGTCTTCTGTTTTGGTCATCTAGGGCATAGGTTTTCTAGATTACTTCTGTATTTCTTTGTTGACCTCAACGTTGAATGCTGTGTACACAGGAAACAGAAGCAGCGGGCCCTGGAGTACCACATCCACATTAGCCTGGGGCAGGTTCAGTTGTTCCCAGATGGTATGTAGGGGCTTCTTCCTTCAACTTCCCCCTTTCTTAAGTCTTCCATTGTTTACTTCAATTCTAGAAAGAAAAGTGTGGGTGGAGATATTAATTCCTTAGTAATTGCAAAGAACACAAGTGGTGGTGCTACTTGGGCAAAATTATAAAGGTCATTAATCTTCATGTCTCACACACCTTTTCACCCAAGTCTGTTTATGACTTTTCTGTTGTTTGTTTAATTCCTACTTGTGTATCTGGGTCCATCATTTCAGAATCTGGTCCAAGTCGTTACATAGGTATTTCTCTTATAAAATTAAAAAGTCATCCTGTTTATTTAGTCATTCAACAAATATGGTGGCATGGTGGTTTATGCCTGTAATTCCAGTGCTTTGGGAGTTTGACTAAGGGATCACTTAAGGCCAGGAGTTAGAGACCAGCTTAGGCCACATAGTGAGCCCCCAACTTTAAAAGAAAATTTTTTAAAATGAACTGGGCGTGGTGGCATGCACCTGTAGCTCTATCTACTCAGAAGTCTGAGGTGGGAGGATCCCTTGAGCCTGGGAGTTTGAAGTTACAGTGAGCTATGATTGTGCTACCGTACTCTAGCCTATGCAACAGAAGAAGATCCTATATCTCAAAACAAACACACAAACAAACAAAACCACAAACAAAAACCCAAATATTTGAGTGCTTCCAAGCGACCAAGTGCTGTTCTAGATGTTGGGAATATGGCAACAAACAACCTAGATCATGGTCTCATTGCCTCTAGATGGCTAACTTCCTCTTATTTCTCTCCCTCCCCCTGTTTAGGTTCTCTCAGGGTGTGCCATCATTGTCCGAGGGCAGCCTCGTGGCGGACCTCCTCCCGAGCGGCAGATCAACCTCAGCAACATTCGTGCTGGAAATCTTGCCCGCCGGGCGGCTGCCACACAGCCTGATGCAAAAGATACTCCTGACGAGGTAGGTGTTTCCTGAGGCCTTCCTGAGCCTGTGAACCCAGGTAACAGCCTACTCACCTCCACGACAGACAACATTTTGGTGTACTCGTTCTTTTCTGCGTATTTTGAGCATTTTTATATCATAGGACAGATGATTCTGATATGGCCACAGCGACTTGAGTTGTTGTTTATACTTTTACCATCTTTAGCAGCAGTCGAAGTCTTAGGGCTTTTTCTCGTACACTTTCCTATAAGTTTAGGTTTGTCATGGTTTCTACTGTTCCTTCTCTTAGAGTGGCTTAGGAACATTTAGTAGGTAGCCCTAGCCATTTGGACTCACCGTTGGCTATGGCAGAGCACATTGTTCAAAATTCAGAAGGATATACAGTGAAAAAGCTAATGCTTCCCAGAGACAATTGATGTTCCTAGATCTCGTGTCTCCTTCCAAAAATATTGAATGCCTATATCAGCAGATACTTTCATTTTTATAAATGGTAGCATATATAAAAGCCAGGCCCATTCTTTATTACAGATTATTATTCTGGGATACATGCACCTCTAAAGGCACCTGTGAATCCCATGAAATTGCAAAATTTTGTTTAAACATGAATTTTTTTAGAGAGGGCATTTTCATCAGTTTTTTTTTGGTGAATTAGGGACACAGCTTTATTTGAAGGATGGGCACAACCGAGTCCCCCTCTTTCTGTGGTCCTGGTAACGTTGGCCTCAGGCTGGGGCAACCAGTGTCCTGCGGTGAGAAGACAGGCTTGGAGGTCAGGGGTCAGAGACCAGATCCCATGAGTGGCCGCACAGGGACTGAGGTGGCGGTGACTGTCGGGGCCTGGGTTTTACCCTTGCACATGAGGCAGTGGGCGGTGAGCTGAGGCCCTGGTGGTTCTGGGTGCTGAATCTTATCCATGACCACAGCCAAAGCCGAGGGTGATTTTCAACCAACACCGGGTCATCAGTTTCTTAAGGCAACTTGTAACTCAGGAGTTGTAAAGAGTCACTGTAGTATACTGACTTGTGAAATGACATCGGAGCTTTTGTCCCACCATCCCCTCCTCTTCCACCCAACCTCTGATGCCTGACCACCTTTCCTTCTTTCTAGTGTGCCTTTGACTTCTTAAGTTCCTGCCTCTTTAGGGAGCTGCTATGCACATCAATTTGGCATTGTTCAGTCTTGGCATCTGTGACTTCCACACTTTGAAACATTGGTGCTTCACTCTTCTTTAATAGTGCTTTGGTTATCAGAAATGAAATTTCTGGATTCTAAAATTTGTCCTGTGCCCCAGCTTGATGATCTTAGGGAGGTTAGTACCTTAGCTCTTCTATGTTATTCTCTGCCAAGGCAGTGAAGAAGAACTTATGGGAATCTCCCCCCCCCCCCCCAGTTGGAGTCTTACTTCGTAGCCCAGGCTGGAGTGCAGTGGCATGCTCACGGCCACCCTAGCATCGACCTGCTGGGCTCTGGTGATCCTTCTGCCTCAGCCTTCCAAATAGCCAGAACTACAGCGCACTCTACCATACCAGGCTAATTTTTGATTTATTGTAGAGATGAGGTCTCATCAAGTTGCCTGGACTGGTCTCGAACCTGCAGGCTCAAGCAGTGTACTTGCCTCGGCCTCCCAAAGTGCTGGGGTTACAGACTGAGCCATCGAGCCCGGTGACATTTAAGGAAAGCATTTAGTTTTATCATCTATAATAAAGGACATTTTGTTTAAGAAGATAGTGAAGCAATGTTATAGATAATAGAGATAGAGAAAAACCACCCATACTTCTTTTACCAACAGCATTAAGACTAAATAGATTAAAATAAGTTTAAATAGGTTAAAATCAGTTTGTCTTCACTGATCCTCCATCAGTGACCACAAGCATTGGGAATAATAGTGTATATACCTCCAGGTTGTTTAATGAGGCTTAAGCAAGATAACATCAAGTGCCTAGTGCATGCTTTTTAGTACTTAATAAGTGTTAGTTGTGGTAATCACTACTGCTGCTTGTTAATTTCTCTTACTGCAGATACTGTTAGATCAACCAAAGAAGATTAAATATCAATGTTTTAAGAATTCTAGGCATTAACAAATTCTGAATAGTTCTTCTCCTTTCACTGTGTATTGTGTAGCAGCTTGACTGTTTCTGAAAGAAGAGTGTTGACTCTTCTTGGAGGTGATCAAGTTCATTTCCCCAGAAGGAAAATGTAGTGAACCCTCTAAGAACGAAGGGTTGGATTTTAATTTCCTGTTTCGTGGATGAGAATCTTGGGCAGAGAAACACAAGGCCAATTGGAGCTTGTTCTGAAATATCATAACTTGTATTCCATGTAACAAGACACTAAAATATCAGAACTATCTCAGGTGAAAGGATATCATGCAATCTGATCTGAACTTCTATTATAGTTCTATATATGTTTATAGTCTAGTCCTCTTTGTCTCTTCCAGAGGAACACAGACTCACCAAGTTTCTCAAAAATTCCTGAGAGAAATTTGATAGCTGTAGATTTCACCCTTTCTTAGTCCACAGTCATTTTTGTTGTTTTTTTTTTTGAGTTGGAGTCTCACTCTGTCGCCCAGACTGGAGTGCAGTGGCCACTCCCGGCCACTGCAGCCTCGACCTGCTGAGTTCCGGCGATCCTTCCGCCTCAGCCTTCCAAGTAGCCGGAATTACAGGCATGCGCTACCACGTCCGGCTAATTTTTGATTTATTGTAGAGATGAGGTCTCGCCAAGTTGCCCAGGCGGGTCTCGAACCCATGGGCTCAGGCAATCCACTCACCTCAGCCTCCCAAAGGCGCGGGATTACAGGCTGAGCCACCGAGCCTGGCTCCACAGTCATTTTTCTTTCCTCTAATCTTTCCTTACCCAGCTGGAGGTTTTTATCCTGCTATGCCCTCAAAGCTGCCATGATGTAAGTTATCAGTAATGTCAGCTGATTCAGAAACCTGATGTCCCTTGGTCTTACTTCGACCACCCTCTATTTCCACGCCAGCATCCATGCTTTTATCAAGACCTGGAGGTTCTGCCTCCTTAAAACCTCTTTTATCCATCCTTGACATTTCCTCAACACTACTGTTGTTCTTTGACTCTGATAGGCTGCTTGGAATGTTGAAATAATGGTCTCTTGACCTTTATTCTTCTTCCCTCTAATCCTTTCTTCTTATGCTCCCAGATCTTTTTGAAACATAATTTCATTTATTCCCTTCCTCAGGGTTTAGACTCAGTGGTTCCTCATATTCCCAAACTCTTTAGTGGTTCCTCTTTACATGTGTGACAAATCTAAATGCCTTGGCCTAGGGTACAAGCACATTTGTGATTAGACTTAGACTTCTCTTCCTGGACCCCCTCTGGGATGCCAAGCCCCAGATACGCCAAAGTCCTTAGGTCTTTTTTCTCACAGGCAGTTGAGTCCTGGCTTGTTATGCCCACAGCTTGTGCTGCTCCCTCCATCAAGAGTTCTGTCTCCACTTGTGTGGCCGGGTGAACACCTGCTATCTTTCTTTTAAGATTCAGCCACTTGAGAAGTCACACCTGCCGTTTCTTTTCATCATCCTGTCTTGTGCTGTCATAGCGTTCACAACATTTCATTTCATGTTTATACGTCTCTCTCTACTAGACCGTAAGCTCTGCAAAGGGAGAGAGACCTTTTCTCACCTCTGTGTCTTTGTGCCTAGTCACTACCTGATACAACGCAGGTATACAGTAAGCAGACAAGTGAATAATGAGGAAAAGAACCCTAGCATCTCCTTTTTTGGGGTCAGTGTGGATTATGCAGTGTGGCACTAACCTTTCTCTCTGGCTTTCCTTTTTTTGGGTGCATGTTTAGCTTTTTCACATTCAAGAAGAATCAAGGGCTTTATTGCTCATTTGTTCCTCTTTGTGTTACTGTCCCAAATATCATTCATTTGATTATTCTTTGCCTTCCTTCATGGTATCTTCTTTCAAAGAAACCCCGCTCTCTCCTAAGCCCTGTGGCAGTGAAAGCAGCCCCACTGTACGTCCCCAGCCTGCCTGCGGTGTTCCAGGCTAATCCCCAGCGTTGCCTAGCTACTCCAGGCAGCCTAGATACTGCATTGATGGGCACTGTGGGAATTATATATTTATTTCCCACAGATTTATTGAACTCCTGTTGTGTGTGAATCTCTATGTTGGTTTTGTGAGACATATATAAGTAAATGTTACAGTCCTATGTTCTCTGGAGCTTTTGTGGATTGGGGTTGTGGGGGAGAGATGGCAGAGCAAGAAGATCAGTTACACATCCAGGTAGTACAGTGGGATGGTTGGAAGAGAAGGAGGGACAAGAAGTATTTAGCTTTGGGCCATGTACAAAGTAACTAGTTAAGGTTCTATGTTGTTCTGTGTTTAATCCTGCCCAGTAGTTTTAGTCATCTACCTGATCAAAGAGAAGATTGAATTAAACACTCATTTCATTGTGATAGACATTGCAACCTTGCTTGGGTCTGGGAGTGCAGAGTGAACTGCCAGACTGCCCGCTGTTAGGCGTTCTAAAGGAAAAAATTTTGAATCTCAACTACTTAAAGACCACGTGTTCTTAGATAGGGCTCTGGGGCGTCATTTGAATAAACTATAGTATTACTTCCTATTAGACAACTGTGACCCTTAATTCATAAATTATTTGAGAAGATTTTCTCCTACCTGACTCTAAGAGTTGTTCTGGAAGTTTCCGTTGGTATAGACTTCTCCATCAGATAGCTGTCTGCCTGGCCCTGCTCTAAGAGGACACCTGTTTGGCACTGGCCTCACTTCCACAAGGATTCACTCCCAGAGTGCTTTCCTGCCCTTAGAAGGAGTCACGTGGTCAGTTGCTTTCCTGCATAGCTCTTTGAGTCTACTGACTGTCACTCTTCTTAGCTAATATCTTGTCCAGTTACTGAATTTACTGAACACTGGATAGAACACAACTTGGAAAGGCTGGTTTAGGAAAGGAAGATTGCAGAAACTAGATTATTTTTTTCTTACAGGGTTAGATATGTTTTTTGTAAGACCTCCAGTGTGGCTTTCTCTTATTGACCAGTGGCTGACCAGCTGGAAAACATAAAGTCCTAGGAGGAAGGTGTTCCTTCAGCGAACCTTGAAAGTTTTTAGAGAAGTTCTGCCTGATTGGTAGAAATTTAAGCTTCCCCAGAGAGGCTAGATATTTCCTTGTGAACTGACCTTTGATAGGTGAGTTTTCTTCAAAGTCTTGGCTTCCTTTAGGAGCACATATTTTGTCAGAGCTCCTCTAAGTATTTAGGAGTGCTGTGTGTTATTGAATTTTAAATATTAGTATGGTACTCAGGACCAAATCTTAAACAGATGAGGGGGAGACCCTGAAAAAACCAGAATTACTTTTTGGAAAGGTGGACCCCTTATAATACAGGCTTCCCCCACTACATAAGTGTTCTGGGAACCCATCAGCATCAGTGTGCCAGCTAGCATTGTTGGGAGATACTGCTTAGCTTTAGTGAATTTTTTTTTTTGAGATTCTTTCAATATGTTTGTCCATTTCATGATAGGTGATTTACGAACACACCTGCCTATATCGCGCAAGTGTTCAGCAGTTTTTGACTAAAAACAGCATGACTCTCGGGCCCCACCATCCCTGTTTACCCGATCTTGCCCTGAGCAACTTTTCTTGTTTCCCTATGAAAAAAACCCTCAAAGGGAGACGTTTTGCCCATGTGGAAGAGATGAAACAAAAAATGGCAGAAGTACTGAATGACATTAAAGTGGATTAATTCAAAAACTGTTTTGAGCAGTGGAAAAAGCATCTTAGTAGGTATATTGCATCAAACAGAGAGAACTTTGAAGGTGACTGAAGTTTAAACATGTAAGAATAAAAACACAATTTTTTAGAAATAAATTCAAGCCGGGCTCGGTGGCTCAGCCTGTAGTCCCTCGCCTTTGGGAGGCTGAGGTGAGTGGATTGCCTGAGCCCGCGGGTTCAAGACCTGCCCGGGCAACTTGGCGAGACTTCGTCTCTACAATAAAACAAAAATTAGCCGGGCGTGGCAGCGCACGCCTGTAGTTCCGGCTACTCGGAAGGCTGAGGCGGAAGGATCGCCGGAGCCCAGCAGGTCGAGGCTGCGGTGGCCGGGAGCGGCCACTGCACTCCAGTCTGGGCGACAGAGTGAGACTCCCACGCAAAAAAAAAACAAGAAATAAATTCAATTCTTTTGGGGTCCCCCTCGTATCTATAGCTGGGTATGTTTTTAGAGTAAGTTGATCACTAAGGTGGTACAAATGTGGGAGCATGTGTTAGTTGGTTCAGTGCAGTTTCTGTGATATGGTCGATAATTGGGATCATTGATCAATTATCAGATTCTTTTTGGTGACTACTATCTGTTTTCATTTTTAGGGAGTGGGGTGTGGGTAGAACTGGAGCATAAAGATCAAGTGAACCTCATATTGCCCTTAAGTGCGTTGCTCTTTTGCTCGTTGGTAATTTGAGGAGAGATCATCAGGTGAGTGAGAATAAGCTGTTTTTGCATCTTAGCTCTTCCTCAGGATCAGTACTTCCTAGAACCATTCATGATTAATGTTTTATAACAGTACTGTTTTTATGAATACTAGCTCTACAGGTTGGTGTAGTTGCCAGTTTTTGATTGGCTTCTGGAAAGTCATATGGATGTTTTTCTTATAGGAAAGCCTGTTGGATGACACTGGAGTAGTCTTCATGGACTGAAAAGTTAGGAGAAGCTTCCTTTCAGGCCACCAACTTCCTATTTTTCCTATACTAGGTGTGACCTGAGTTCTGTAGCTTCAAGAGACTATTAATAGACGACATATGCATAGTGTATACGACTTTTCCCTTTTATAACTTGATTTTTTTGGCACATGAGTTCCCACTGACCATATGCTCCTTGAACACTTACCTCGTATCTCCCCATTTCTGTCGTAAGGGAACTTAGGACACTGAACTAGGTTCAGACTGCAAATTCAAGTGCCAGTAGCCACTGTGAAGGGCTGTTTCAGTATTTGTGCTGCAGAAGCTGGCATGAAGGACTGCTTCAGATGAGACATCTTCCTTTGTCTAAACCTTCTTAGGTGTGATGGGGTGGGGGTGGGAGTCAGGGTGAGGGTGCGGCAAAACATCCCTTAGCACATTATCTTGAGATGACATGGAGACTGCATGGCGTTGGGTGAATGAGTGCTCACCCTTTGTGTCTCTCCTGAATGAGTGAGAGGTGATCCTTTATCAAGGGCTGTTACTGGTGTCTGGGACCTGTAAAGACTTCAGAATAGAACAGAAGTAGAAGAGGAGACATTTGGGGGGGATGTCTTAACTGTTGATAATCTTTAAAAGGGGAGTGAAGATGACATAAATACAGTTCTTACATGAGCAGGGGTTTATAGATCCAGAAATAATAATAGCTCTAGAACCTAGTCCTTTCTGCAACAATGCCTTGAACTGGTTTCAGGCTAGTTTAACCCTTTGCACTCAGAGACATCTTGCAGATCACTTCTACCAGCAACTCGACCATTCTTTATTACGAACTAGTGAAAAATGAATCACTTTATATTAAATAGTGTAGCGCTGGAACCAATTATTTTATTGCAGTGATATTTGGCTTATAATGGAATTTTGGACAATGAGGAACTTATTTATGACAAAAAAATCAAAATTTGATATCTTATATTTTAATAACGTGTGGTAATGTGTGAAACAGTCACCAACATGTATTTTAGGTTCATTGACTCTTGTGAAATTTTTTGATGTCTTCCACCTGGTGTTTTTCTATTAAAGCAGACAATGCAGTCTCATTTTCTTCCTCCCACTTTAATAACATGTACTTTGTTGCCCAGTCTGCTGTTTGAAGACCATGTGGAAGGATATACTCGTGATTTCTGAAAACCACTTCTCAACTGATCGATCAGAAGCTTGACAAATTTCAAGTGGGACATAGGTTTTTGTTGTTTTTGAATGGAAAACTTCAAGGAAACATACATTTTTAAAAAATTTGTACTTGCATAAGTTTGTCCTGTCTAATCACTAGCAATCTTTTTATGTCCCCTGAGAAGACATCCAAGTGGTTTGCTAGGTTTACGATGTCTCCTCAGAGGGGACATCCAAGTGCAAATGGTTAATAGTCACTTAAAGTGCTTTATAAACTGGTAAGAGGTGAACACGTGCAGGTAGTTATTGTTATGACATCCCTCTGCTAGGTGGGTCTTGGAGCCTGGACTTCCCATTTCAGGGAATGGGTTGGTGTGTGTGTGTGTGTGTGTTTGTTTTAGAGCAGTGGCTGGCACATGGTAAGTGCTATAGAAGCTTTGGCAAATGTGTCTGGAAAACTTTTTAGGCCTGTTTATAGGGCCTATGCAAGTTAAACCAACTGCTGGACCTTCCTTTTCTTATGAATCCCCTAAGTGTGATCTGCGTTGTGTGCATTTCATTTTTGTGTTCTTTCTCCTCAGGGCCCAGCACAGGGCCAGGGTGTGGTAGGTACTCAGACATTAATTGAAGGAATGAAGTTGCTTAGATACTGATGGGATCTGGAACTAGGCAGTTCTCACGAGACACGTTTGTTTTGTCTTTCAGCCCTGGGCATTTCCTGCTCGAGAATTTCTTCGAAAGAAGCTGATTGGAAAGGAAGTCTGTTTCACGATAGAAAACAAGACTCCCCAGGGCCGAGAGTATGGTATGATCTACCTTGGAAAAGGTGAGCTGCAAGGAGGAGAGGATTCATTTCTCTGAGTCTAAAGATCAGTTTTCTGGCGGTGGAAGACCAGTGTAGGTTGTGGTGGAGGATGCTCTAGGACTGTTAGCTAAGGTGCATTTGGAACTGCTTGGGGTCCTGGGCACATGGCATATAGGTGCAGAGGCAACCCCCGACGTTCTTGCTCCTCCTTTACCCCTGTGCCTGCTTTCTTGGCTGAGTTTCGGTGTATGTAGTGCAGAGTTGTATTCTTCCTCGAATTTAGGCCATCATCTTCTGGAACTCAGTGGCTCGTTGCTTATGGGTCAGAGCACTAATTGAATTCCTATAGATTTCCTATTGTATCTTCTGTTTCCTTTATCTTGTGGCTTTTTTTCTCCTCCTGGGGACTCTCTTTAGGAAAGGAAGATTTATTTAGGGCTGGTGGTTTTTTGCAGGCTATATGTTTTGTAATGGAATTGAAGGAATGTAGGTGTTGGAGTTGTGTCAATGTGGGTTAGAATATTGACTTCCTACCATGTACCCTTCTTAACCCATTAACCTCTCTAAGTCCTAGTTGCTTTATTTGTAATTTCTTGTATAGATACAAGAGAGATTGTTTATGTAGAGCATATATGTAGATAGTATCTGTAAAGCCTCTAGCTCTGGCACAGAGTTGGGCCAGATGGCTCATGGGATATTAGGTAGTAGAATAAGATTGAGGAATGATGTTTGCATAGAAATAGGATATTGAAAAAATTGCTAAGATGTTCTCCAGAAAGTAACCAGATGAACATGAAGAGTCATGTTCATTGAGTTATTTGGGGAGCTTTCTTTTTGTTTTTTTAAGTTCCCAGGATGCCTGGACCTGGTGACTCACGCCTATAATCCCAGCACTTTGGAACATGGAGATGAGGGGATTACCTGAGCCCAGGGGTTCGAGACCAGCCTGGACAACTTGGCAAGACCTCATCTTTATAATAAATAAAAAACTTAGCCTGGCATGGTGGCTCGCACCTGTGGTTCCAGCTACTTGGAAGGCTGAGGTAAAAGGATCACCTGAGCCCAGCAGGTCAAGATTGCAGTGGCTGTGAGCATGTCACTGCATTCCAGCCTGGGTGACAGAGTGAAACTCCAACTAAAAAAAAAAAGTTTCCCAGGGTTCTTTGATTAAAAACTTCCTTAGGGCCAGGCTCGGTGTTTCAGCCTGTAATCCCAGCACTTTGGGAGGCCGAGGCGAGTGGAATGCCTGAGCCTGTGGGTTTGAGACCAGCCTGGGCAACTTGGCGAGACCTCGTCTCTACAATAAAATAAAAAATAGCTGGGTATGGTAGTACGCGCCTATAGTTCCAACTACTTGGAAGGCTCAGGCGGAAGGATCACCTGAGCCCAGCAGGGTGAGGCTGTAGTGCCCATGAGCGTGCCACTATACTCCAGTCTGGGCAACAGAGTGAGACTCCAACTAAAAAAAAAAAAAAAAAAAAATTCCTGAGCCTGGGCTGAGGCGATTGCCTGAGCCCATGAGTTCGAGAACAGCTGGGCAACTTGGCGAGACCTCATCTCTACAATAAATCAAAAAACTAGCCATGCATGGTAGTGCGCACCTATAGTTCCAGCTACTTGGAAGTCTGAGGCGGAAGGGTTACCTGAATCCAGCAGGTCGACGCTGGAGTGACATGTGAGTGTGCCATTACACTCCAGCCTGGGCGACAGAGTAAGCCTCCAACTAAAAAAAACAAACAAAAAAAACCCCCCAAATTTTTGACAGCTTGTGTAACTGAGCTGATGGAGATCATCTGTCTGACTAGGGTCACTGTGCTGGTGCTAAGCAAGCAGAATAGAATGGCCACGCTAACAATATCATGGTAAGACTCTGATTTTAACTGTAGAGGTCTTTGAAAAATGAGTTGAGAATGAATTTGGAGACATTGTGTCCAATTTCCTACCCAGTAGAGAAATGCCTTTTTTAGCCTCCCAGAAAATGACTCTGCTTCTTGATTGGGAAATACCAGAAATATAGGGAATCTTCACAAAAAAGGAAATAAGCAAATAAATTTGCCTTTTACGCATAATTCAAATATAGTAGGAAATAAAACATTTATGGGTTATTATTGAATGGTTACTCATTAGAAATAATGTAAGAGAAAAAGAAATGCACTATGTTCAACATGTAATTGTTCAAGGATTTTATTAGCAAAAAAATTTCAATTCCCTAACAGCTGGTCAATTTTCTATTACCCTGCAAGAGACCTCACTTGGACCACAGATAATTGCGGGCACAGATATTTCTATAAGGAGACCATCTCTAAGAGTTCCTTTTAATAACCTTGGTCTTCAGCCGGGCTCGGTGGCTCAGCCTGTAATCCCGCGCCTTTGGGAGGCTGAGGTGAGTGGATTGCCTGAGCCCGCGGGTTCAAGACCCGCCTGGGCAGCGAGACCTCATCTCTACAATAAATCAAAAAATTAGCTGGGCGTGGTAGCACGCGCCTGTAATTCCGGCTACTTGGAAGGCTGAGGCGGAAGGATCACCAGAGCCCAGCAGGTCGAGGTTGCGGTGGCCAGGAGCGGCCACTGCACTCCAGTCTGGGTGACAGAGTGAGACTCCAACTCAAAAAAAAAAAAATAACCTTGGTCTTCAATCAAAATGGCCACATTGTTTATTTAAGAGATGCTGACATTTAAAATTTTCTTTAAAGTTTTAAGAAAGTTTCTTTTTTAAACTGTCCTAAATTACATATTAGATATAATTTAGTATGCTAATACACTGTTTAGAAGAAAACCTGGCACATACTAGGTGATCAATACATACGTACTGAAAGAATGAATTACCTACACCTATCAGTTTTAAAGGTAAAGAAATAGTTTAATGTTTAATATTTTCATTTAGGTATGTTAAGCAACTCTTAATGCCAATTCTAGTGAAAGAAAACAGTGGCTTAGGTAATTAAATAGTGTTTATGTTGTCTATTTCATTGCTACTAATTCTTTACTATGGGAGAGTAAGATAGAGTTGGAGAATTTTTGTTTAACCTAGAACTTACTTAAAAAGAGATTATTAGTCTTCCATCGTTTGAAGACAATATAGTCACCCACCTTCTCTGAATACTATCCCCAAATGTGTCTTGATCAAATTCGTAATATTGGTAAGCGATAAGCAAGAATTGAGACCATTGACATACAAATTCCAGTTTTGCTATCCTGTCCACTGCATTGTGTTGCCTCCTCTGAGGGCTCAACCTAGGAAAATGCATTTTTCTCCTTTTTATAGGAGCATTCAGAACTAACAGAAGTGGGCCATTTTAGAGTGCTCTTTGCCAAGAAAATGTCTGAAAGCTACTGGGTATGCTTGATTGGCTGATCAATCACTCACTTTGTACGTGGGCTCCATTCTTTCTACATCTTGGCTTCCTAGCGCCTCACTGCTCAACCTTTCCCTTATTTGTTGAGTCCTTTTGACTTTCTAGTCTTTGGAATTTCTGTTGCTTTGAAAGAACCAGTGTGAAATTTACTGTTGTGTCTTTGGTCTTAGCCATAGCTGCAGTGGGAAGTATCAGGTGATCCATGCTCAGCCTTAGAACCTGAGCATTCTTTATGTAAATATTTTTCTCTCTCTCTTTTTTTTTTTTTTTAGTTGGAATCTCACTCCATTGCCCAGGCTGGAGTGCAGTGGCACACTCATGGCCACTCCAGTGTCAACCTGCTGTGCTCCAGTGATCCTTCCGCCTCAGCCTTCCAAATAGCCGGAACTACAAGGGCACGCTACCTCGCCTAGCTAATTTTTTTTTTTTTAATTGTAGAGACGAGGTCTCACCAAGTTGCCTAGGCTGGTCTCGAACCCATGGGCTCAGGCAATCCCCTCGTCTCAGCCTCCCAAAGTGCGGGGATTATAGGCTGAGCTACCGAGCCTGGCCTATATAAATATTTCACCTCAACTTTTCTTGGTAGGGAAAGAGGCTGACAATTTGCAGAAATTTGGGCATGCTAATGACAAGGCATTTAGATTAGGTTTGGGAGTGGTGTGTGTGTACTTGTTACTGCTTGCAGAACTTGATGTGTAGTGTATTAAATATAAATCTTACAGAATTTTATTCTGTGCTGACATTATCTGTCAGTTGGACTGCTATGCTTTAGTTTATCTAGGAACTCGTTCTCTGCCGTATTGAAGATTTTTATGTGATGATTCCCTCATAGATGTCATTCTTTATGGTTTTGGCTGACAAGTGGAGATTTAAGAGAAAACACTGAGCCTAAAAGCTTTTTCAATAGCATGGAAATGCAATTAATGTTTCAAGTGCCTGGGTAGAACCTAATCAGGTTGGGTTTTATGTTTAACTTCATTTCTCTTGCCAGATCTGATGGTTACTGTGAAAGAGATCAGAAGTCTAGCCAGTATTCTCAGTTTCTCTGTAAGAGCAAGAGAAAGTCTTTGTCAAATGATGTAGCTTGTCTTGGTGTCCACTTGGAGCAGAGAATAGGGCATCTTGGAGAGGAATTGAACTTTCCAGTGTAAGTGTGATAGACAATCCTAAATCAATGTCTCTGTACAAGGTGAAGGGACTTGATTTTGTCTAATTCTTGCCATGTGCTTGGCTCTGTGCTTGGTGATTTGCACATGTTGTTATTAATTCTTACAAGAACCCGTCAAGGCAATTGCTCTTCCCATTTTACAGATGAGTAAATTAAGATGCTGAGAGAGCTTGTCTAAGCTATTAAGTGGCTGGGCCTGTGTTCAGCTCTCGGCTTCTACTCTTCCAGTTGCTGCTTGATACCCTCTTGAGCAGTCAGCTGTATGTATCTTGGTTTCCCGTCAGTGTCCCGTGGCTTCTGAGATGGCCTTCGGTCTGGAAGATACACTGGACAATTAAAAACAAAGTCCTGAGAAGATTGATAGACCTTTGGGTCCTAGAAAGTAGACATTTTGGGAAAAGAAGTTTTCTGAAAAACCCATTGCTTTGTCCATTTCTCTAACAGCATTAGTCTCCTTGAAGAGCTGAGTGTGAAAGTGGGCCCATTTGAGCTCTGTTGCTATTGGAGGCAGGTTTGAATCTTGCTTTTAAAACCTCTTTTTTCCTCCTCAGATACCAATGGGGAAAACATTGCAGAATCTCTGGTTGCAGAGGGCTTAGCCACCCGGAGAGAAGGCATGAGAGCTAATAAGTAAGTATTCATTACTCTTCTATCTCTGACTCCCTTGAGATTTCAAGGGAGGTTGAGTAATCAACTGTAAGTTGACTTTGGTGCATTTTCATTCCGCCCCTTGACATAAAACGGGAAATTTCAGGTGCTTTCACAGCTTCTAGAACATTCTTGTCCAGGAATGGATTATTCTGAGCCAGGTGGTCAATCAGCATTCATTAATGGCATGTGAGGTGTGTAACACCATTAAAAACAGGCCTTAAGACTAGGCAGTTCTATTCTTTGTTATATTCATAATAATCAATAGGTCTTAAACTGTAGACATTCAGTTCCAAAGTATTTATCCATTCAGTCAGCCCCAAATATTTATTGAGCACTTACTATTTGCCAGGCTATTTTCTAGGCACTGAGAATATAACAGTGAACAGACAAAACCTTTGTAACATTTTAATGGAGAGAGAGACAATAAAAAAAAATAGTTATACAACACTGTATCAGGTGCAAGGAATAAGTGCAGTGAAAATTAAGAGGGGCCAGGCGTGGTGGCTCACGCCTGTAATACCATGTAATCCCAGCACTTTGGGAGGTGAAGGCAAGAGGATTGCTTGAGACCAAGGGTTTGAGACCACCCTGAGCAGCTTAGTGAGACCTCGTCTCTACAATAAATCAAAAAATTAGCCGGGTGTGGTGGTGCATGCCTGTAGTTCCAGCTACTTGGTAGGCTGAGGTGGAAGGATTGCCTGAGCCCAGCAGGTCGAGGTTGCGGTGGCTGTGAGCATACCTCTGCACTCCAGCCTGGGGGACAGAGTAAGACTCTGACTCAAAAAAAGAAAAATAGAAAATTAAGTGGGTGAATAAATAGAGTACAAAACAAAATTTATTGTTTAGAATCTGGGATTCTTCTAATTTTTTATGCAGTGATTCCCTCATAGATGTCTTCCTTTATGGCTTTGGCTTGACAAGCAAAGATTTAAGAGAAAACACTGAGCTTAAGTGTTTACATGTTTAAGCTTAAGTGTTTAACACTTAAGAATACTGACAAGGCCTCAGTTTTGTTTTGAGAGTCAGGGAAAATTTATATCTTTCCAAAGTATTCTCAGTCTGTGTGAGTTTATGTATCTTTAGGTACTTAGTAAGTAAAAATGTAGCCGGGCTCGGTGGCTCAGCCTGTAATCCCATGCCTTTGGGAAGCTGAGGTGAGTGGATTGCCTGAGCCCGCGGGTTCGAGACCCGCCTGGGCAACTTGGCGAGACCTCATCTCTACAATAAATCAAAATGAGCCAGGCGTGGTAGCACTCGCCTGTAGTTCCAACTACTTGGATGGCTGAGGCGGAAGGATCGCCGGAGCCCAGTAGGTCGAGGCTGCGGTGACTGGGAGCAGCCACTGCACTCCAGTCTGGGCGACAAAGTGAGACTCCAACTCAAAAAAAAAAAAATGTATTTCTTTAGATAATGGCACTGTGAACTTGTTAGAAAGGAGTGGTAGGTATGCAAGGTGTATAGTACACATATTCTGCTCAAGTTCACTAACGTTGGCTCTAAGTAGGTTGGATTGCAGTTGGCTTTAATTAATACTTTAATCTCTGAAAAGTGCTGTATCAATAATTTGGAGGCTATAAACATGCTGTAAACATACTTTGAACTCCTTAAGTCCTTGCTAAATTTTACGACTATCATAGCTATAGAAGGGGCTTTAGAGGCATATTTGCATGTGGTGTACCAATGATGAGGATGAGCAAAGGCAAAGAAATACACTTTTTGCATTCTTTCTACCTTCATAGACTTAGGGCCCGGTCTTTCTCCATCTGTGGTCCTTTCTGACTGCAAGGAGACATTTGCTGGACTCTATAATTGGGGTGTATACCTGTGGGAATTTGTTGAAAAAACATTTGTTTTAGGTGCTGTTTCTGGAAACATGCCAAAGTTGTATCTTTAGGTCAGTTACTGACTTGATTACCACTGCAGTGTTTTTTGGGAATTCAGTTTGCAACCAGAATGAATATTTTAAAAAATCCCACAGCAATATTGTACCCTCTCAAAGAAATCTCCCCTGGAGTACCAGTCCTTCTTTTTTCTCCAAAATTGTCTTGATGTAATGTCCCCGTTTCTCAGTTTTGTGTTTGGTTCTGTCTCCTGTGCTATATTTCTTCATCAAATTCTGGCTGTGAATTTGGATTCCTGAGGGTGTGGTTGCCTTTTGGGGCTGGAGAAGGAAGAAACAGTAGATCATCCTTGCTTAGAAATCTTTCCTGATGAAGGTGGGGAGATTCAGGGCATGCATACAGTCTATGCTGGTACTGTGTATTTGAGATTGTGCAAAGGTCTTGCAGTTCACTGCTCCCTTTTACTCAGGTATGAGAGAGAGAGAGCCATTTCTAGCCCTTTTTTTAACACTTGATTTGGTCTGTCTACTGACTTTTTGGCTGTTCTGGTATGTAGTTTGGTTTCCTGCTTAATGAAGGAGGAGGCTTCTCATTCAAACTGCTTATGCTTAGCTGATCTTATTGAATGTGTAGTAGCTTTGGCATAACATTATCTCTAATAGCAGTGCTCACTCTGCATACGCCAGCCTTGTTTTATAGACTGAGACAGAGTAAGGATGGTTCTTAGTCACCTTCTCTGCACTGTCCCCTGCTGAGCTGTGTCTGGTTTCCAGTTCCTGAGTCTGGTATGGCTAAGTGAGGCTGAGCCCCCTGGAGCAGCTCTCCTCTGAGTCAGTGACTTCTCATCTAATCAGTGATGGTGGCAGTAGTAAGATGTGTGTTCTCAAATCTCATTAACTGCTCTTTCACTTCAACCTATTGTTTGAAGGAACAAGTGTGGAATCTAGAAATTGCACTCATAATGATTTTCTGGTTGTAGGCTTGAGTCTTAAGCCACAGATCTGAAACAAATGTGTTCATCTCTTCCAGGGGAGAAGATGCTGAAGAAACTCCTTGTCGAGGAACCTTGTATTTTTTTTGGTGAAATCACTAACCACTCTTATTTATTTTTCATGTCCCAGTCCTGAGCAAAACCGGCTTTCAGAATGTGAGGAACAAGCAAAGGCAGCTAAGAAAGGGATGTGGAGTGAGGGGAACGGTTCACATACAATACGGGACCTCAAGTACACCATTGAGAACCCAAGGCACTTTGTGGACTCACACCACCAGAAGCCTGTGAATGGTGAGGCCGGGGGGAAAAGACTGATTGACTCAGTGATTTCTTGCTATTTGCACTCTTTGCTTTTTGAGGTTTATAAAATCTAGTAAGCCTTTCTTATACTTATTTAGTATCCAAGGGAAATCCAGAAAGGTAAAACAGTACCGTGATCTTTTGGAAGGGAATTTGAATTCAGTTCACGCAGGTTATATCAGATATATTCAGATGCACCTTTGCTGTTGCAGGGTAGTAAATTGCTGGCATTTTGCACATTGGGTATCTTCTGTTCTCCAAAAAAAGGCTGCTTAAATACCACCCCTAAAACGTAGAGGTAGAACCGTGTATTCTGTTTACATCTAAGCACAACAGTTGTCTCTAGTAGGGGATTGGTTTCAGCCCTCCCACCCCCCCATGGATACCAAAATCAGGATGCTCCAGACCCTTATAAAATGGTGTAGTATTTGCTATAACCCACGCATATCTTCCCATGTACATTTAAATCATCACTAGATTACTTCTCTACCTAATTCAGTGTCTATGCATCACTTCATTCACACATGGAGTCAACATGATACTTGTTGTTCAGTAAATCCAAGCTTTGCTTTTTAAAACTTTCTGGAATCTTTTTCTTTTTTCTGAATATATTTGATCTGCAGTTGATTGAATCCATGGATGTAGAACCCATGGATATGGAGGGTTGACTGTATGTATAGTATGTAGTTTTCAGCCCTACTTTGAGACCTTGTTACTACAGACTCAATTAAATAAAATTATTGCCAATCCTGCGTTATTATTACTTGCTGGGCACCTGTCTCATAAATAACAGAGTTTATTTGTGAGCTATGAGGTCCCAGAATGTTCAGAAGACAGAGAAGCAGATCTGATCTGTATACCCCAGGAATCGTGCTTCCAAGAGTCTGTTGTACAAACCCTCATGATCTGCCAGTGCATCTTCACTTTTCAGTGGGAGGCTTTCTTGGGGTTTTGGGAGAAGAATTGTGTTAAATGCAGCTTGCACATTGTTTATCCTTGGCATGATTTTTGCTACTGACTTAAACTATTTATTGTGTCATGCAGCTATCATCGAACATGTGCGGGATGGCAGTGTGGTTAGGGCCCTGCTCCTTCCAGATTACTACCTGGTTACCGTCATGCTGTCAGGGATCAAGGTCAGACCATATACTGGGCTGTGTGGCAGGTGGAGGGTTTGTGGAAGTGTTCCGTGATACTAGGCTCTTCTGCTTCAGGACTTTGGATCTACTGTTTCTTCCTAATGTAGGGCATTAACATTGTCCAGTTGTGGTTTAAACCTTGCAGTGGGATAATTCTAATGGGATCAAATAGCTTTCCTCCCTCCCTCCCTTCCTTCTTTTTCAAGTACTATAAGTCTTTTTCGTATGGACTGCTTAGAGGTTTGTAAACCTAGAGAAGGAGGGATGAGAGTCTCTGAACTTTGCTGAATTTGGCTTATATTAATGTAAAATATCTTAAATATCTTTGGCTTATATTAATGCTGAATTTGGCTTATATTAATGTAAAATTTTGATTAGAAATATTAGGGATTAAAAACTAAGCACTGGCAGATCTTTTCTTGGTAAGAGACTGTTTTTAACTGTGATTGAAATGATTGTCCTCATGATAATGTGAGTTTTCTTTGCCTTAACCAAGAAGTCTGAGATGATGATATTTCTAGTTCCTTTTTACCAGTGTGTTTTTAAAAGGGTTAGAAGACCTGATTTGAGGCCTTCCTGAGCTTAGCTTTGTGGCACGTGTTCTTTTTTTTTTTTGAGTTGGAGTCTCACTCTGTCGCCCAGACTGGAGTGCAGTGGCCGCTCCCAGCCACCGCAGGCTCGACCTGCTGGGCTCCGGCAATCCTTCCGCCTCAGCCTTTCAAGTAACTGGAAGTACAGGCGCACGCTACCATGCCTGGCTAAGTTTTGATTTATTGTAACTGACCAAGTTGCCCAGGTGGGTCTCGAACCCATTGCCTCGAATGGAGGCAATCCATTCACCTCAGCCTCCCAAAGGTGTGGGATTACAGGTTGAGCCACCGAGCCCGGCTGGCACGTGTTCTTTTTGGAAGGTTTGGTGTGAGTTGCAAGTACCTAACAGTCACATTTAAGTTGCATTACTCATCTACCTTACTTTTGTTTTAGTGCCCAACTTTTCGACGGGAAGCAGATGGCAGTGAAACACCAGAGCCTTTTGCTGCAGAAGCCAAATTTTTCACCGAGTCGCGACTGCTTCAAAGAGATGTTCAGATCATTCTGGAGAGCTGCCACAACCAGAACATTCTGGGTACCATCCTTCATCCAGTGCGTATGCCTTTGTAGACTGGGATGTGATAAGTAAGGGTGCCTTTTGGGTTTGAAGAGCTAGAGTGTGCTTCTCTTCTTTCTCTCTGTATTTAATATTCATTTAAATATTTTGGTGGATTATCATCTACTGAATTTGAGGCATTTACTAGGGAGATATCATTTGTCTTACAGAATTGGACAAATCTGTGTGATTTCTCACCTCTAGGAAATTAGTTGGGTTCATAAGGGGAAGAGGAACGTTATCACTTATTTATCTAAGTGTTAGTCTTAGAGGTTGCCAGTAAGAAAGGTTAAACGTTGCTATATTTATTAGAAATAGATCTGAAACTTATGGAATAGGATTGTATATAGGCCTAGAAGTCAGCTTATCAGCAGATCAATGATGAGGAAACTGCTGTATGAACAAATTATTGTGTGTATTCCCAAGTCTTATTCAGGTATCTCCTAACTCTGCTTTTAGCAGGAAATAGGTTCTTTATGTTCTTATAGTTCTGATTGTTGGAAGTTTTACTTTGTATACTTTAGTAGATGGGGTATTCTTTTTTAAAATTTTTTTAGTTTATTTAGGGAATAAATTAGAGAAGGAGGGAGGGAGGGAAAGGAGATTCACTTCCTCAAGATAGGGGAGTGGGATGGGTTATTCTTGGACATAAAATGACCTTGTTTTGTAACACCTAAGTTTGAATGGATTTTCATTATTGTAACTTATGTTCAATATAGTTAAACTACTGTTACGTATTCTCCGGCTAGATATTTCTACCCTGACGGCAGTTGTGGAAGGTTGTGAGACTTGGTTTAGGGTATGCCAAGGTCGTGTCTGTTTCTTCTAGAATGCTGACTCTCTGGCTGTGCCCTGCCAGATGGCTCTGTGTCACAGTAGAGTATGAATTGTAATTCACTGGGCAAAATGTAGCTTCCATTATTCCCTACTCAGCCTGTTTTTCAGCTCTCCCCTTAAGAAAAGGGGAGGAAGTGCTGATCTTAGGGGAGGGAAGAATAAGGTGTAATCTCTATTAAAGATTAACATCCTCCTCTGCCCAAAGAAGAGCTATTGAAATGTCAATTCCATTCAATGCCACTAGCATTTATCCTACTTCTATTAAGTGAGAGTTACTATGCTGGGTGTTGCAGAGATATGAAGTCAGGGCTGTTGAGAGGAGTGTCAGAGTGAGGTCTTCCATCTTAGGGGTGGTTTCCTAATGAAAGAAATCACTCTGCTTTAAAAGAACAATCAAACTGCAGAATAGATTGTGGTTGTGTTAATTGTGTCAGAAATCTTGATTCTCTTACAACAGAATCTAATCTATGCCTGCCTTCTCATGTGTCTTGTTTTTCAGAATGGCAACATCACAGAGCTCCTCCTGAAGGAAGGTTTTGCACGCTGTGTGGATTGGTCAATTGCAGTGTACACTCGGGGTGCAGAAAAGCTGAGGGGAGCTGAGAGGTAAGGTCTGTCAGGGAGCCCTTCCAGTCACAGATCTCATTAAGAATCTTTAGGGATAGAAATCTAGTGACCTTCTCACATCTTTGTGTGTCTGTATTTATCTTATTCATAAAGAAATAGGAAAATTCCTCATAGAGGAATGACTTAAATATTAGTCTTCAGGTTCATTCTAGTTCCATGGGGGATAGTAAGGGTTTAGATTTTTCACTCAGACATTCTTCACTTGATTTGCCTTTATAATATTTTCAAGTCACTTTTTCCCAAGCTGCTCTCTTTGCTGAGTTTTAGGCTTTTGGAATGAAAATCAACTTGAGGGTCATTTGAAGAAGATAAAATTGCTTACCAGCTACTTCCAAACAGATAGGCATGGTGGAAAGACAGGGCTTGTGGGTCCTAAACCAGGACCATTCAATGTTGTCATAAGGCTTATGCCCTAATTTACCTAAAAGCGTGTTTTCATTATAAGTGTTAATACAACTCTGAGGTGCTATTGTTATGTTTTGGTTTGGTGCCTTAATAGTTAAAACAGATGTGTAGAAATAACTTACTTTCAGAGAACCAAGTGTGGAAAGTTTAGAGATTGGTGGCCCTTTCAAGTATCAAGGCCAAGTATTTCTAGATGTAGGTGAACTTCATTTGAAGGGATAGATGGAAGAAAATAAAGCAGGTAGCAAGAGTGGATGAATGGAAATGATGCCAAGGAAAATCTGAATTACTACCTCCCAGGATAAATTTAAACAGAAAACAACACACAGCTGATGGTGATGGTCCACTCTCAAGGCTTGCTATATGACTTCTTTCAGGATCATAAAATTAGAATGGGCTTAATAACTACATTTTTGCCTTTGAACATATAGCTAAGAGATGTGCAGCAACATGTATTGAATTACCATAATATTCATTCTTTTTCTTAGGTCTTTTATGTCCTTCTGAACCTCTAAGCAGAAATAGTTGCACATTTTTATAAAAGTAGATCTTAATCTGGGTCATTTGATATGGCACATCTGACAAATGCATATTTTCTGATGAAAAAACACAGAGATTGCCTTTTTTTGGTTTTTGTTTTTGTGTTTCACAGTTAAATTAAAAAGATGTAATACCCTTATCAAGCACAGTGATCCAAATACTTCTGATTATGTTTTGATGCTCAGTTTCTATTTTTGGTTCAGAAAGTCTTGTTAAAAGTTTATTACTATTCAAAGTTATTGTTTTAGGGGACACATTTTTTTGTATTCTTTAAATTCCTGCATCTCTTTAAGAAAGTGAATGTACAGCCGGGCTCGGTGGCTTGGCCTGTAATCCTGCGCCTTTGGGAGGCTGAGGTGAGTGGATTGCCTGAGCCTGCGGGTTCGAGACCCGCCTGGGCAGCGAGACCTCATCTCTACAATAAATCAAAAAATCAGCCGGGTGTGGTAGTGCATGCCTGTAATTCTGGCTACTTGGAAGGCTGAGGCGGAAGGATCGCCCGAGCCCAGCAGGTCGAGGCTGCGGTGGCCGGGAGCAGCCACTGCACTCTAGTCTGAGCGACAGAGTGAGACTCCAACTCAAAAAAAAAGGAAAGTGAATGTACAGCTGGGCTTGGTGGCTCAGCCTGTAATCCCGCGCCTTTGGGAGGCTGAGGTGAGTGGATTGCCTGAGCCCGCGGGTTCGAAACCCGCCTGGGCAACTTAGCGAGATCTTGAATGTAATGAAAGTAATAGTTACATGTTAGACAACATCATTAGAAGATTTTATGGATTTTTTTGGAAAGTGTTTATCATTAAAAAACAGACCAGGGAGTGCTAATCATATTTCAGTAACGTGCAATTCCTTGCTTGCTGTTTTGCGTGCTGTATTTGAGCTACTTGCATTGTAGGTGAAATTGAATTACTTCATGTATTTTAACAACTACTACATCCTGCTTTGTGTTTTTCTCATTTTAGTGCTTCTCTAGAAAAAAAAGTTGCAGTACTATTTTGAGAAATAATAGTTCGTTTTCACTGCACATGTATCCACTTACTTGTAAGTAGCTTAAGACAGCTGTTCATTGATTTTTTTTTTTTTTTTTTAATCTTTGCACATATTCTGTTTCCCACTCTTAGTCTGACTTGGAAAATATCTACTGGGCACTATACTTTGAAGTAAGTTTCTGGTTACATGGGATTTAAACTCTTGAAAGTGAACATCTCTAGGGATTTTGTTTATTTTTTTCCATTCTTTAGGTACACTAGGGTGACAGTTTCGCTATTCTACATAGGATTTTGTAGCTGATAACGTTTTTATAACTCAAATAGAAATTGTGCAGACCTATGCTTTTTAAAAAGTGTATTTGTTTAGGTATGTATGTATGTGATCTTTCCATTTAAGAGAACAGTTGTTCTGTGTTGTCAGCCTAAATATTATAGTAGTCACTCAGAAAATACTGGCTAAATCAGAGTTAATTACCAAGGTGGGGTTGTACTGTCCAGGCTCCAAAAATTACACACCTGGGCCAGAGTCTACGGGCTTATGGTGAATATGTATCTTGGATATTTTCATTTTTGTACACTTTTGGGACATTTTCAGTTGCCCTCACTGTTTTTTGTTTTGACTGGTGGTCTTTCCTGGATATGTCTAAAGGGTACGGCAGGATTACCTGCTGCCTTGTGATGGTGAATTCCATGTGCTGACTTATGCTATCCAAATGATCTTGCATCCTTGCTTTGTTGCCAGGTTTGCCAAGGAGCGCAGGCTGCGAATATGGAGAGACTATGTGGCTCCCACTGCTAATTTGGACCAAAAGGACAAGCAATTTGTTGCCAAGGTGAGTCAGTCTCAGCATAGTGATATGCATAGTGGACACCGCCAAACGAGTGATAATACAAGGATTTGAACAATTAGAACTGCTGTAACTCTTGAATTTCAAAGCAAGCCAAAGAGTGGGTGTGAACGGGTGTGTTTGTATTTGTGTGTGTGTTTGTTTATTGTAGGGAGCTTAGAAACCATAAGAACTTTCAAATTTCTCATCATAAATTAGCATAACTTCAAGCTAGCTTCAAATATCGTTTATGTTTTAGGGGTTCTTTTTTATCTGCTTAGCAGGTGGCATTTAATTTCCTATACCCAAGTACAGACGGTCGCCAACTTATGATGGTTCAACTTATGAATTTTTGCTTTATGATGGTGCAAAAATGATACACATTCAGTAGAAGTAGTGCTTTGTGTACCCATGTAACCATTCTGTTTTTCGATACAGTATTTGTAAATTACATGACACACTCAACACTTCATTGTTGTTATTATTTATTTATTTTTTGAGTCTTGGGTCTCACTTTGTCACCCAGGCTGGAGTGCAGTGGTGCATGATCTTGGCTATCAGTAGCCTTGCCCTCTGGGACTGAGGTGATTCACCTGCCTCAGCCTCTCAAGAAGCTGGGACTACAGGAACATGCCACCATGCCCAGCTAGTTTATTTTTATTTTTATTTTTGTAGAGATGAGGTCTTGCTATGTTGCCCAGGATAGTTTTGAACTGTGGGCTCAAGTGGTCCTCTCATCTCAGCCTCCCAGAGTGCTGGGATTACAGGTGTGAGCTGCTGCACCTGGCCCAACACATTATTATAAAATGAGCTTTGTGTTCGATTACTTTGTCCAACTGCAGACTTATGTAAGTTCTGAGCATGTTTAAGGTAGGCTAGGCTAAACTATGATGTTTGGTAGATTATATTAAATGCATTTTCAACTTAGATATTTTCGACTTACAATGGACTTATTGATAGGTAAAACCCCATCAATATGTTGACGGGCATCCATACATATATGACCTTAAATTTCTCTTCTTTATGTTTTGGAGCTCTTGAGCTCTTATTTTACTTGATCGATCGATCTATCGATCGATCTATCTATCTATCTATCTATCTATCTATCTATCTATCTATCTATCTATCTATCATCTATCTATCTATTTTCCTGCATGCTCTCTTCTATTGATATGTCTTGGGATGTATAGCTTTGACAGGAATTAGAGCTATTAAATAGAGTCCTTGATTGTATTACCAAATTTTGGTAGCTTGAGTGGTAGACCTGTTCTTGATGCCTTTTCAAAATGTTGTCCAACCTGTTTTTACTTTTGTCAAGAGATGCTGCAGGTATATTCCTAGCCTGAGTGACTGTCTCCCTGTCAGCTATGACTTTAGGATGGAAAGCCACTAGGTGGCACTGTCAGCCTGAGAAAGCTTGTAACTGGCTTAGAATGGTAAAATTTTAGCAAAGTCTCTGAGGAACTGGCAGAAATTAACTTCACTCTTTTTTCTTTTTCTTTTTTTTTAAATAATGCCCAAGGTAATAGGCTACCAAGTTGTCAAGTGGCCTCTCAACTCCTTTTAGTAGGTGGTGTCCAAGCAGCTGTGAAGTTAACCATAATCACCCTTAATACTGTACATGAGTGGGAGTTGTTCCTGGTGGGATATCCTTGTACCCTCCAAGTCTTATTTTTTTTTTTTGAGTTGGAGTCTCACTCTGTCGCCCAGACTGGAGTACAGTAGCATGCTCCCGGCCACCGCAGCCTTGACCTACTGGGCTCCGGTGATCCTTCCGCCTCAGCCTTCCAAGTAGCCAGAACTACAGGTGTGCGTTACCACGCCTGGCTAATTTTTGATTTATTGTAGAGACGAGGTCTCGTCAAGTTGCCCAGGTGGGTCTTGAACTCACGATCTTAGGCAGTCTACTCATCTCAGCCTCCCAAAGTGCTGGTATTACAAGCTGAACCACTGAGCCCGGCTGTACCCTCCAAGTCTTGATGCAGACCAGAATGGCCCTTTACTTTCTTTCTGTGTGAGGAATATACTAGTGTGGGTATCTGGACATGGGTTACTCTACTACTTGAACCCTCTTGCTTGTACCTGTGCTTCATGTTATATGTTCTGTGTTATAAAAATGTAGAAAGGATGATTGTTTATTCAACAAGGGAGGCAAACCCTCAATTTTTCACCATCTTCACTCTGAAAGTCTGTGATATTAGTGATGTAGATGAGACTTGAGGGTTCTACTACACTACCCTGCTTCTGACAGTCCCTCATCAGTTGAAACTGAGTTTGTAGAAAAGCCTAGAATATGTTGAACAGTTTTAGGCCTTTACTGGTTGAGGAACTAAGGTACTGCAGTAGAAGAGTGAAACTCAAAGGATTTAGATTATTGAGCTGACAGCTTTGCGTTTATCTTAAATATAAGAGGGAGCCCCCAAAAAACTACATTTATCTTTTGGAGGGCGGGTCCCTTGTAGTACAGGCCTTCCCCCTAGGTAAGTGTTCTAAGAACCCATGGGCATTACTGGCCCAGCTAATGTTGTGAGAGGCTGCATTCAGCTTTAGTGAATTTATTTTTGGAAATTCTTTCAGTATATTTGCCCATTTCATAATGAATGATTTACAAGTGCACCTGCCCACACTATGCTGAGTGTTGAGCAGTTTTTGACCAAAAACTACCCCACCCTCCTTATTCACCCAATTTTGCCCCCAGTGACTTTTTGTTTCCCTGGATGATAAAAGTCTTCAAAGGGACACATTTTGCTGATGTGGAAGCGGTGAAGCAAAAAACGGCAGAAGCTCTGAAAGGCAACAAAATTGACAAGTTCAAAAACTGTTCTGAGCAGTGAATAAAGCTTCTCAACAGGTGTATTACAGCAAACAGCAAGTACTTTGGAGGTGACTGAAGTTTAAAAATGTAAGAATAAATACCCATAATACAATAATACATTTATTTAGTTTTACTAAATGAATTCTGGTTTTTTTGGGGGAAGTCTCCCCCCCTTATATGACTTTATTGGTAACTGGAAAAGTGAGAACTGCCTGTTAGCAGCATCTCCTCCTTAAAAAAAATCCTAGAATCCCAAGATCTTTTTTATTTTTTATTAGCAAGGTGAGGCTTTTATCATTACAATGAAGTTTTATTTACTACATTGCCAAACTAGAGAAGATTGCCCCTAAAAATCATCTGACTGAGGCTTAACCAGTCTCCTGTAGAACCTGGAACATAAATTTAGGACATTTGGATATAGGGCTGCTTAGAGAGTAGAAAGAAAAATGTATTCATGGCAGATAAAGGGTTTTAAAGCTTCTTGAGTTTTTTTAAATTCTTAAGCATTTATTTGAAAACAGGAAGAAAGCATAATGAAGGCAAGCATAAATATACATATTACACGAAGCACTGTGACATAGCTCTGCTTGTTTTTGTGTGGTTTTTTTTTTTTTTCTTTAGACAAATTTGATCACGGGCAAAATCTGGCTCAGCACTTGTTTTTTGTATCGGCCTGTGAATTTTACATGGAAAAAGTGGATTTTGCATTAATTAAAAAACATTTTGTGTTATGTGAAAATTTTGTGAAGTTAAATGCCAGTGTCATGAATAAGTTGGGTCATAGCTACGTGTATGTTTTTTTAATTTATCGTCTGCCATTTTCATGCTATAATTGCAGAGGTGAGTAGTTGTAAAAGAGATCAAGTAACCTGCAAGGCCTAAAATATTTGCTACCTGGCTCGTTAAGTAAAGTTTGACAATTCCTGATCTATATCAGCCCTACTTAAAGTGCTTTGATATAGTGACATGAGGAGCTTGGGCCAGAATGTAAATCAAGGCATTGCTTTCTTCATCAAGAAAAGCTTACTACAGAAATAAATGTCAGCAATGTTCTTAGTGTTGTATTTGATAAATATTCTGGTACAAATACTTATCTTACTGCAGACTGACAGCCACTTTGAATAGTACTGATCTGTACTCTTTTGTGTGTAACTTTTACATTTGCAGGTTTTTATTTTTAATACAGAAAAATTTAAAAATTTCTATAGGCTTATTTTTTTAAAAATGTACCAGTCCAATTTCTCTTTCCCTTGAGGCAGCTATTTTCAACTCTTGGCTAATTCATATCTCTGAGTGAAATGTTTACATGACTATTTCTTAATTTTTCGGTTTTTGGTCCTAACTTCTTTACTTCATACTGTGAAAGAGGAGAATTTATTTAGTTTTTTCATGTAAACACACATGCTCACATGGACACACATGTGCTCTTCCCCAGTCCTTCCAATTTGGTTTACCCTAATTTTGGTTAAGTTAATAGTCAGTATTTACTTTGTAAATGCTAATAGTCACTGTGTTATATAGCATATTATGACTGCTTAATTTCCTGCACAATTCTCTGTTTTTCTTGGAGTTAATAATTTTCAAAATTTACTTTTTTCCCATACTTATTATTAATTCAACCTCCAAACTCTCTGCCTAAATCTCTCAATAGGAAATTCACTGGGTCTGTTAATAGCATCTTTAATAATACTTCCTTAGCTCCTTGTAACTTGCACCGGTCTAGACTGGTTCCTCTTTTTGCTTATTACAGAGCTGTTTTCTTTAGGTTTCTTCACCATTATCTTGGGGGCTTTCTTTGCCTTACTTCTGGATTGGATCTAGATTTGCTGAATCCTTTGGCTTCCTCTTTATGATTTAATACTTCCATCTAGTGGCACATGTTCTCTAACTTCATGACACAAGTGAAATTGGGAGATAAATTTTCTGAGATCTTTCATGTCCATTCTCTCCTTACATTTAATAGTTTAGCTGGATATGAAATTTTATTTTTGAAGTCAGTTTCCATCAGAATTGTTATAAAGTATCACTTCACTGTCAGTTAGCTATTAGAGAATTTTTGTTTTCTTGTTTTTAGGAGTCTGAAACCATTCTGAATTCTCATACTTATATGATTTATTTTTTTCTTTCTGAAAGCTTTTGGCAAATTCTTTTTGATCCTGATATTTCTGACATTTCACAATGATATGCTTTG